TTTTTTTTTTTTTGGAGCTGCAGTGCTTTTTAGGGTAGAAGTACCATCTTTTCTCACCTATCACAAGGTTCATGGCTAGGACCCCTATAAAAAAAGACAGATCCGCTAGAGAAAAGCAAACCAATTTGTTTAATATAAGTTCGACATGACACAGGAGCCTTCAGAAATGAAGACCCGAAGAAACAGGGAAGTCTGTGTATTTGAGGCTTAGGCTTGAGGAAGTGTGACTGGGAAAATGGGGAGGAGTGAATGGCAAGAAGCTGGGGAGACTCGGCCAGGCTTCTTTTTTCAGCTTCTCCCCTCTGTCCCCACATCTTCAGAGGTAAGAGTATTAAGGAGAGTCTTATGATGACGTCAGGGGAGAAGGGCAAAGGGAAAGTGAGAGTGACTTTTTTACTTCTGCTTTCTTAAATGCCAAGGTGCCATGTTTGGGGATAGTGTGTCCTGGACTCTGTTAGTTGTTAGATAAATACTAATAAACATGGGTGTGTGTGGTGGGAGACTGGCCTGGGCACTTCTGTCCCGTAGACGCCGGGCCTAGGATAGGTTTCAGTTCCTCATAGTATCTCCTCCCTGCCACCCAAAGTCCTACAGATAGGACGGCACCACCCGCTCCAGCTGGCTTTGACCAGCATGACGTCCACACTGGGCAGTAATTTTCCAGACAGGCTGAGGCTTCAGACCTGATTTTCCTGATGAGATGTCATACATATCTCTTTTATAAGAATGTGGTTTATCAACAAGGTGCTCTTGGTGCCAGCCCTCTGGGGAACCGTCCAAGGAAGCAGCACTACAGGTGGAACCAGGGTGAGGGAGGAGGGGGAAGGAGATCTCTGGGCCCTAGCACCACCCAGAGCCTGGTGGGGCTGCCAGAGTGCACAGTGGGGGGATGCCCTGAGCCTGGATCTCACCCTGGGCCAGGAGGAATCATCAACCTTGGACTTATTGTGACGGGGCATTGACTCCTCACCCATTTGCCTTTCGCCTTTGGAAGACTGTGTCTAGCGAGGAAATGGGGAGCTTGCCAGGGGTGTGGCATAGGAGAGGAGGTCTAGGGTTGCATCAGTGTCTTTGGAAATCTACTAGGTCAAAGCTGTTGTTGCCCTCACACCCTCAACGAGACTGAAGTCCCAGCATATCAGGGCTGGAATGGACCCACAGACCTTATCCCAACTGTTTTACACACAGGGACACCAGAGCCTGAGGGGCAAGGGAGCTGCCCCACGTAACAGAGGGGACAATCTGACTATCCAGACTCCCTCTGCTCTCCCTTGGCGGCCAACTTCCCCAGCCTACTCAACACACTCCCATTCCCTGCTTCCCTGAGGACATGCACTGGGATGTCCATACTATAGCTGAATTGTCATTTATAGTAGCCTGGATGTGGGGTCTTAGCTTGGAGGTTGAGGGCCAGGATACTTACACTCTTCTGAACCGAACTAGGCCACCTAAAGTAGGGCCACAGAACTACCTGTTTAGAAAAGCAGAATCTCAGGCAGGGCCCTAGCTTTCTGACCAATCTGCATTTGAACAAGATCTGCAGATGTGTGTGCAGGCTCCACTGTGAGAAGCTCTAAGTTAGAGCAAGCCACTTTCCTCCACAAGCCTTGGTTGCCTTAAGAGAAATCAAAGGTATAGAACATCTCAGACTTCTTCCCCAGAGCTAACACATTGGGAGCCAGGCCTCCCGTGTGACCTCCTGTGGAGCTATTTGCATGTTGTGGTGGCTTCTAGAAAGTGGAATTCCAGCTCTGGCAAGGCTAGGGGAATGGTCCAACCTCTCTTCCCTTCTGTCTGCTTAACCCCTTGTCTCTGCTGGAAACCAAGGGTAGCTGCAACTTATAGGTGCTGAGATGTAGTTCATTCCATTCAATCTGGTTCAGCAACATTGATTTAGTGCCTTCTGTGTGATGGGCTCTGTAGCAGTGAATCTCCACTGAAGAATCATTCAAGATGCTTTTAAAAACTCGTGATGCCAAGCCTCACCTTAGGCCCCAGAGTCTTTGGAGGCAGGGCAGGGCATGGGTACTTATTAACATGCCTTGGGCAATTATAATGCACAGCCAGGTTGGGATTGGAAGAAAAGAGGCTGCTGTAAGACCTACAGGGCCATGTCCCCACTCTGCTTCCTTCTCTCAGGCTAGTCAGCTGCGGCAGGTCTGCTGGAAGCCAGGAGAAATCACCAGGAAATTCCCTGGATACTGTAACCCATGACAGAAACATTTAATTAATCATCAACCCTGAAACGTGATTCCTGTGGCCCATAAAGAGGACCTGCAGAGTCTTTGGAAACCTGTTTGTCCACTGCCTTCTCTAGGTAGTTTCTTCTAGACCCAGAGACCTGTGCCCAAGGACCCCAGGCTGATGGGTGCCCAACTTTGCTCCGAGGCCAGTAAGTACACCTCCAAGCCCTGAGCTTGGTCCCTGGACTAGGGGTGCAGGAAATGGAAGGGGCTCTGTGCCATGGCTGGGTGGGAGCTCCAGGAAGTAGAGGGATGGTCAGTGTGAAGTTTAGGGGCCCTGGTGGGATTCCAGTTCTGCCAACTTGAGCTATGGGATTTTAGGCAAGCAGCTTTGTCCCTGGGCCTCAGTTTCCTCATCTATAGGCTGAGGACAGGCTTACAAGGCTGCTAGAACACACAAACCAAAAGGGTAATTAGTGGTCGGCACCTGTGGCTCAAAGGAGTAGGGTGCTGTCCCGTATACCAGAGGTGGCGGCTTCAAACCCAGCCTGGGCAAAAAAAAAAAAAAAA